CCCCCCCCCCCCCCCCCCCCCTCACGCACACACTTTCTTCCTTAGCTTCTCTATCTACTTACTTTCTTTTCTGATATCTTTAGCTCGAAGATAAGAATAACGCCGTCTAAAATTTACAAAAGCATGTTATTCACCGCGTCTAAATGTCGTATAATTGAAAAGTGTCATGCCGCGACAAATATACTTTTGCCTACAGCGTCGAGCGGGGCACTTGATTGCTTCTCGTGTTTCTTCACAGTAATTGTCTTTTTGAACCAACACAACAGATAAAATTGAAGAAATTTGCATGAGAAAAAGGAAAATTATAAACGCGCATTTTACAGTGAGGACTACTTGAACTGAAACACTTATTCGATTTTGTTTTTGCCATTTTTTTATCATGCATACAGTAAACCATCCGTTGAGTCCATCGATTGTCCACCTTCATTTTAGAGGGTTTGATACTGTACAAAGTTCAGGAAGTATTAACTTTAAAAAAAAGCTGTTCACGGTTCGAGCGTCCTCTTCTGTAAGGCAACTTTTATCTTAAAATGTGTTTCAAAACTGATCCATATTTTGTCTGTCATCCATCCTTTTTTCAGTTCCCTTATTTCATTTTTTTATATTCTAAATATCATATTTATTTGCGTTTTTCATTTGATGATGTTATTACCAATCACATAGTTTATTTAACTCAAACACAAACTAGATATTTGTTAACCCAAAGCAGAAACTTATATAATATACTGATTAAGGCGATTAACGAAGTTTTATAATTTCGTTCCAAGAAAATCTAAAGATCGAGATTTCGTAACTTTTGTTTTACTTTCCGTTGGGAAGGTTATCTGTTCCAAATGCAGGCCAACTACGAAAACGTCAGCATGTTCCCTTAAACCACCATTAGCTTTCACGCAGAATAATTTCCTCCAAAGTAGTCGGAAAGCAAACCGAAAGTTCTCATTAAAAATTGTATAAATTATTGGGTTTAGTGAGCTGTTGGAGTAAGACAAAAAAATAGCTATGAAAATATATCTACTACTGCATATAACCTCATTGAAATGGTACGAGCAAAAGACCCATCCAATCCAATATGGAAGAAAACACACATAAAAGACTGTTACTATCATTGCCACCATTTTGACGATCCGTATGTTGAGTTTCTCTGTTCGTCTGCTACGAAACGAGAGTCTTACTCCAGGTGTCTTTTTACGCCACAGCTTTACAGCAATAGCAGAATAAATGATAACAATAAGCAGGAATGTCCCGAAGAGAATTATCAAGAAAAAAATAAACCAAATTTTCCAGTTAGAAAAAAACTTACGAACTTTGCAATACATTTTGCCATTTTCTTCTAGAATTTTTCCATAGATAAGAATAGGTAAACAATACCCTGAGGATATCAGCCATATTGATAGGATTATGCGATGAGATAAAGTTTTGGTGATGAACTTTCGACGAGGGAAAAAGACCACAAGAAATCGGTCGACTGCAATACTCACCAGATGCAGAACTGATACATTCATGGAGAGTTTTTCGATAAAGTTGACGGCTTTGCAGACAGCTATTCCTAAAGTTCCCGGTAAAAGCCACGTATCATTTGCTAGAATTCTCGTCATTCTTTCAGGTACACTGCCTACAGTTATAAGCAGGTCTGCAGCAGCCATTGACACTATAAAATTATTGCTTACTGTACGTAGTTTTCCGTTGGAGTTGAGTTTATATGCGAGAATTACCAAGCAGTTTCCAAGGACGGACACCAAAAACAAGCAACTGTAACTAGCTGTTTTCAGTCCAGTTTCAAGAATAGAATCCTCTGCTTCAAAATCATTTGCGGAAGATGAGATGTTCGTCAAGTTTTTTGCGTTAGTATATTCAAAACCCATGACTTGCTTTCTGGAAGGAATTGTTAAAGTTAATATTAATCACCTTGAAGATCTTAGGCTCAGCCTCTTAGCTAAACTTCTCAGTCGGGAGGTTAGACTCACCACTGCTAGAGTCTTGCACAACAAGTCCTTACGATAAAGAGGGGGGGTTGAACCGTAATTTGTACGCATTTCCATGCAATAAATCGAATATTTCGTACTGTGCATTCAATTACAAAAAGTATAATTACAAGAAAAGGCAATAAAATCATCCAAACAAGCCGAAAATAATAATATAACAACTACCTTGAAAATTATTTGACAGCTGTTTCGGTCCCGGAGAGAATGCAGTATAGATGAGATAAACTGTTTTCATTCAAGTGTTACTCAATTTTTTTCAAACAGGATCCCTTCGATTTTTACATTTCCGCTGTCTTCGGATAACTTGTCTCAGAACTTTCTTTCATTTACGATTTTATTTATTCAGGAGTCGACTGTTTAAAAATTTGACTTTTGCAAAGAATTCTCAATAAACATAATGTTCTTCTTAGATAAATAGTCCATTATTATTAATTAAAACTTGGAGATTCTGATATATTTACCGGTAATTCATTTTCTTTGGGTCGCATTTCTGTTTCTTTTACAATTTCTTGTTTAATCTTTRCGTTATTCGATGTATATTTTTCTAAAGAAAATTCGGAGTCATTTTTTTTTATTAATCTTTTTTTTTGCTAAATTTCTTCCTCTTTACACATTGTTATTAAATATGACGATGAATTCTTAACTTCCAATTTATTAAGTAGTATGTATACAGCATAAGCAACCCTCTTTACTGCACCTTTTTTAGTTTCTTTTTAAAACGAGGTGAACCGAAAAAAAGAATTATGAACTGAAATATCGGGTGAAATTTTACCTGTTTTATAAGTAAATAATGACAATAATACTTTGAAATAATAAAAAAAGAAGAAAAAAAGAGAGATAAATTCGAAAATTAAAAATTGATGAATAATTTAGACAAAAAATGGAAAGCATTTCAATAATAGCAAGTCTGTTCTTACCCAATGAAGACAAGTGGACTGGTTTGGCCAGAGTAAGAATTAACGAGATACCATATGCATGCAATGTCTTATCTTTTGATTAAAAACATGACGCGTACTGCTGGAATCATTGTTTTCAGACGCATGCTTAAGATTCAGAGATCTGTTGTCCAAATATTTGAGGTTTAAAGGATAGAATAAATTATGATGTCGCTCGCTGAGGCCTTGTCTAATCACCTCATGTCCTTAAAAGGAGGTCATCATTTTCAAAGTTTTTACCACATTCTTTGATACGGTATTCTAGCTATACCCTGTTCTGTTGTTCTGTGAGTTCAGGATATATTTTAATTCAAAAAAAAAAAAAAAAAAAAAAGAAAAAGAATATAGAGAGATATAGTTAGACCGAGCTGTCGGCCATGTTGGATGGCAGACAATAGATTGTATCGCTTTAATTACGGGATTTGATATATTGCTTGCGTATATCGAATTATTTCTTTTTTTAAAACGATTACATTGTTCCTGCCATCCAACATGGCTGCCGTCGTGTTATCGCGCAAGACCATAGCCTGAGAGACTGGGAAGGAGGAAGAGGGGAAGAGATGGGGGAGGTGTAGGGACTGGGGGAGATATTCGCGACAGCAATCTCGCGAACGCAAGCGCGCGCGCTTTACGAGTGTGAAATTAACGCTTTTTACTGGCGCAAACCAATATATTTACTGATTCATACTAAGTTAACTATCAAGTAGACAACTCAACTTTCTCTCTACAAAGAAAACGAATCTACCACTTGATCGATGGCGCATCTTAATTACAGTTTATATTAAGAAATTGTATTTAGACAAAATTCACTGGTTAAATGAAATGTTGAAATATGATTTTCTAGAAAAAAAATTTCGATGGTAAATGATCAATATCCTACTTTGATTTTCAAAGTCTAAAGCATATATCTCGCACGTCAGAATGTCCGATCGATATATAAATATAAATAGTTAGTTTCCCAACAGATATTTCAGCCTAGGTATTTTCATTTGCCTAGAAATGTTTAACTTGCAATGTTTTCCCATTTCAGACCACGTGTCATTCTCTAAAGTATCGTTTCTTTGTTTAACAGTCGCGCATAAGAAGACACATGAATATGGATACAATGTACTCAAACAACAGAATGTAATTATTAATAGAATAACACGTGATATGAAATGGGAAAACATTATGCCCATGCAGGTCTATTATCTTGGTCTATTGTTTTACGCTAAATGTTTATTTAGATTCTGTGACTGCGCTGACAGTTGCTTAATTCTTGTTTCACGGACCATTGTATTTCTTCGATCAAACACTTAGCCAAAACTGAGTTACATCAAGTGTATGTGCGGACGCGTTGACTAAGCATGGATGGCTGGTTAGTATAAAATTACTGATTGTAATGGTATTCCCGTCAAATCAGTGAGGTTTAGTTACATGTGGGACTGAGGACTGTATTTCTTGTATTTCAAACCGGTACTTAGCGCAGACGGTTAGTATAAAGTTACTGATTCCCGTCAAAACGAAGTTTAGTCCGGCACTTGTACACTTTGCTTTTTCTAGTGTTTTTCCTCACGACTGATGACTGTATTTTTTGTATTTCAAACGCTACTTAGCATGGACTGTTGATATAAAGTTACTGACTGTAATGTTATTCCTGCCAAAGCGTTAGTCACGTGCGGACGCGTTGGGTTCACTTTGTTTCTCTTTCTTATTCTTCTACACAAATTCGGAAAAAGAGCCGTGAAACCATCGCGAAAATTCTCGCTAAAATATACATATATTATAGGGTTTAAAGCCGCGTTTACGTAGGAAAATAATATCGAGACAGATGAATAAGTATCGTTACAAATAAGGGGAGTGAAATGATAAGAACAAAAGATCCAGCCCAGCCAATATGGTAGAAAACAAATGTAAAAAGCGACGACAACGACAGTGACCATCTTAAGTACTTTCCTGTTTACGAGTCCTCGAGCAGTGGGTTGAGTTTTTGAAGCATGTCGTTGGCGTCCAGGTCGCTTCGTGCACCAAAGTTTAGCACAAATGGCGAAGTATAGAATAAATACGATAAATAATGAACCGAGTAAGATGATAAGGAATGGCAGAAACCAGAGGGTCCATTTGGGAAAGAAAATGCGAGTCTTACAATAGGTTCCGTTTTCTTTTTGAAGTAAGTTACCATAGACCAATATTGGAATGCAGTAAATAGATGAAAGAATCCAGATCAGAGATATGATGATATAGCTTCTTTTAACAGTGATAATAACACGATGAGGCGAGAAAGCGTTAAAAAATCGATCAACTGCAATCGCAGTAAGGCTTGAAATCGACACCAATATCGTCATTTTTTCGATAAAGTTCGCCATCTTGCAAACCGCTATCCCTATTTCTCCACCAAGCAGCCACTTGTCCGCGGTAAAAGCTCTTGTGATTCGTTCTGGCAGGTTGCCAACGGTCATGATCAAGTCTGCGACGGCTAAACTTACTATAAAATAGTAGCTAACAGATCGCAATCTTCCTCCAAAGTTTTTCCTAACGACAACCACAACAATGGTGTTCCCAATCAAAGCAGTTAAAAACACCAATATATATGCCCCTGCTTTGACGTAATCTTTATCTTCTAAACTCTCGTTGGAGTCCAGGGTAAAGTTTCTCGTGGTATTCACAAAGGTTTGGTTTACTTGGACTTCATGCTCGGCCATTTTCAGTTGCTCCTAACGCTTTAAACATCAACCTCAAGACTGGCTGTCTCTTGATTTGATCATAGATTTTAAACTTTTTTTCCTCAAAAAACAACTAACGCAGGAAGCAAATTAGAAGGTATCGCCGTGGGGTGCTGAGTAAATTTCCTATTTGTACTTCGCGTGGAGACTTTACGTTTAATGGACAAGACTATGGGGAAAAATGAGTTCAATTGTATTGATATTCAATACTAAATTACTCAATAATATATAACCCTAATTAAGGTCTACACTAGATTATTGCGAAAGAATACTGCGCCAGTTATTAATCATTGTTCTACAGTACGTTGTCGTAAAGTTTTGAAAGCAACCATTCGAGAATTTCCCATTACATGATATAATGCAGTAATCCACGATCTTCTTAGGGTACTTAATGACCGGCTTGTTAAGTGTTCATTGAGTACAAAGGCGCCTGATTTTCAAGCATGCGCAGCTGGTACTTCAACTTAAGTGAATGTGGGATAAAATGGTCTGAAACTTATGTAAAAATAATTGGCAAAATGATTGAAATGAGTAGTTCGAAATTGGTTTTAAATACATGGATTTTATTTGGTATAAAAATAAAAATAAAAATAAAAAGAAGGGAAAAGCTTTACAAGACAATAAAGACGAAAAATTTTATCAAAAGTGCAGTCTTAATCTTAAGACTCAGAGTTGACTTCCAGTCATATCTCTGTCACAAGCCAAGTCAACAATATCAAATAACATGAACTACATTCATAATAATAATATATATAGGTATTATTATCCCCAATAAACAGTATAAAATGTCAAAAATAAGACGTTTTGGACGCACTCTGAACGGCTAATCAATCCAGTTAAGTGCTATAAAGTAGTTCTAATATTGCACTTCAATCACCTGTTTCAGGTTGCTAAGAGACCAACAACACTGTGATGGCTTTATTAAATCTCCTTTTCTCAAAAAGATAAGACTTTTATGTCTATAATCTTACTCTATTTATTATAATTATCTACATTCGACATGAAAAAATATACCAGTCAGATATCTTATACATTTCATCGGCGAATATACGGTTTTAATAAAACCGGCATTGGATTGGGATATTATATTTTTAATGGCAAGTCCACGAATATCAATCACAGGAATATTTTCATTCATTTCACAGGCTCTTGATCATTCTATATAACATTAAAAAAGTATTTGATGCAGGATTCAAGATATTGTATGATTTTCGCGATCGTGTGTAGTTTAACTACCTGTCAGAGTCACAAATTTCCGGCCGACACACAACTGGACTTTTCGAGAAAAAATTCCTTACATAACATATTCAACAGTACTAGTCACCCGAGATAAATCCGAGTCAATATAATATAGTCAATTTTTACTTTTGGATTGAAGTTTATTAAATTCCTAGTATTCTTTTTCTTACTTTTTTAAAACATATTATGATATTAAAATGTAGGAATAACGGTATCAACACTGTTGATGCAAATAAAAGCTGAATAAATAAAATGAAAATAATGTGTATTGAACAAAAGAAAAAATATATATAAGAAAAGCAAGAAAAATAGCAGGTTTTGTAACAGTAAAAATGAGAAGCTATTTATGGGAACCATGCTAAATTTTCTTTAAAAGAATGAATAAAACAATTGTAGAAATTCCATGAACTTTCATAGCATCTTTTCCCCTATTTTTGATTTTTCTCTCGTTTGAACGATTTTCCGAAGTGTTTGGATTAATTAAAGACGTACTGCGTTGGCGGGCTCTTATGAAAAATATTCTCTTCTATAAAAGCTTAGCACTTCGAGCGAATTTACATCAACATAATTACTGGCTTTAGTGGCAACAAGCTTTTCTTATTGAACTATCTAACTAGAAGAGTCATTTCCACTGACCTACCATTGTAAAATTGATTCAGTCTCTAGTGTATACACCTATTTCAAAAAAACGTTGTCATCGCCAAAGGTAATAGGCAATAGGCGAAAAGCGCTAGGAGATAGGTCGCATTCATGTAGAAATCTAAAATAGTTGGAATGAACACGGAGCTTAGTGCTGAGACTGATTCAATATTCTTTGTATTCAGCGAAGCCATTTCTATCTTTGCCTATCGCCTTTGGCGATGACAACGTTTTATTTGAAATAGGAGTATACAAATTACACAGACATCTAGAGTGAAAGAGAACTAACTCTGTGGACATTATGTAAAGAGATTCAATTGATTCGAATCGCTCTCAATAATTAAGCGTTTTTGGTAAGCACACGGCAGTTCTGACTTCCGCCATACGTACCTGGTACTACAAGCATGTCATTTTAATATAGCTTCTCGACGTATAGTAACATTAATAATAAAACCAAAAAAATATTTTTATTTAACTTATTCGTTCTAGCGCATTCGCGATAATTTGGGACACTTTCTTCACTTACACACTCACACTATACCGATACACTTCACAGTGTTCTATGCAAACGACATTCAAATCACAGGATTTACTTTTACATAATGAAGAAAACCGGAGAACCCGGAAAATAATTCGGTCCTCGTAGCACAGGATATTAAAAACATATCAAACAAACTCAACACACATGCAGACTAGCTTGGATGGAACTCGAACGCCGGGCCAATTGCCACAAGCCTTGCATTAGTGAGAGGACGACGCCTTCGCATTGTAGTCTCTCCCATAAGCTATTCTCCTTCTTTTACTCATTTTTACTTCTCTCTCTTTCTCTCAACGACATTAAAAATAAATGTAAATTGTTTTGAGCTTGACGATTCTTATTTATTCTTTAGCTTTTTTTCCTATTTTTTTCCTCTTTCTCTCTCTTTCCTTTCCTCTCACTCTCTCTCCCTTTCTTTCTCTTTTTCCTCCCCCTCATCTCTTTATTCTAACTGTCCCTAAAGTGCTGTAAATTGCTAAATAGAACAAATTAATGACAATATCCAGTTTCAGGACCAACTTCCTTTTCGAGTAGTTTCGCCAAAAGCTCAAGATTGTTGTAATATGACACACGTAAGTGAAGCATGGAAATATTGATAGCTTCAAGAGGAATACTGGACAATATATTTTACCTCCTGCAAAGGGCTCTATTTTTCTACTCTTTTTGCCCTTGTTTTTCTCGTGGGCGTCCATTATCAGTGCAGTGATTCCTTCTATCTAATCCCTCGCTGTGGCAGTCTCTTATCTTTATCCCTAGAATTTTCAGCTATTTTATAACATCAGTATTTGTTTGTCATTTCTTGATAAAATTTTCAACGGTCAACATCCTACTTAGGCTGCGTTCATGATGTATGACGGGGGGGG